TCATTCTAAACACTTCTGAGGCCAAGCTAACATTGCACTTGCATCAAGTAAAAGATGGCAGGTGCCAAGAGCGAAGAAAAAAATTAATGTTATTACTTTGATGTCAGAGTTCCTCATACTTCAAATGCTGCATAGTTCCAGGCTGTAAGGCGTCACAGGTACTGTGATGATAAAGTCTCATTTCAGCATCAGTTACATGACTAGATAATTACTGCACTGTACATCAGGTCGGGCTGCATAGTTTGAGGATTGCGAGCGAGTGTGAAACAAGTGATTTGGAGGACCAGCTGTGACAGATGGGAGAGGAGTGTCCTCAAACAAGACAGCCTCAGCAGCCCATGAATGTGCTGTGACAGCCCGAGTCTCTGGGTGCTCGATGACGTGTTAAGCTGGCACAGCTCTGTTTGATGTTTGCTTTTAATATCATGCTCCAAGCTATTAATATTTATTGCAGTGCTCACCGCTTGACACTATTAACGATGCAGAAGAGCGTGTGTGTGTGTGTGGGGTTATATATATATATATATTTTGTTTTTTTGTTTGTTTCCATGCATTGAGTACAGCATGTCAAATGAACACTGTTGCTCCAGATACACAATGCCTCTCTATTAATACTTACTTCTTCTTCTTTCAGGCTCTATCTGATTTAAACTGTCTTTTACTTGTGTAACTGCTCAAAATGAAATGCTTAAAATCTATTGGTGAAAAAAATGAATCCATGCTTGTGCTCTGTTCTTATAATGTACCTGCTGCCTGTGAGTGTGAGAAGCCTTTTACAGACTCGGATCCAACCTGAACCCATTCCCCCTGCTGCCTTTCTGGAATGCCAAAGATTCCACAGTTCTCCCTGATCTGCCAACCTGGGAGTTACAGCTGCCCCGGAGATGCTGTTTAAAGCAGATGCAGCACAACACAAAGCAGAGCAAAGTGCTGGCAACACCGGGGGAAAGAGCAGACACCTGTTTGAATCCTATGGTCAGAGGAATCCCTTTATTGAGTCGGTGCTCGGCTTTTATGAAATGTTAGGCACAAAGGTGTTGATCATGTCTGAAACCATCAAAGTCACGATTTAAGAAAAACTGAACATGTGCGTTTGAAAATTTCAACTATGTTTTATTTGAATTTTGAATTCCCCCCACAATAGTAAGAACAGAACCTGTACTTCAACCTGGTGTTTTCAAATGCTGTTTTTCAGACATTTCCACTCAAACAAACAGAAAAAACAAAGTTGACACAAATCCTCTTGTTGTTTTTTGACACCATGTTAAACATTTTCTACCTGCAGCTTCACTTTTCAAGTGTTCGAGAGTCAAATTAACTTTACCCTGATAATATAATTGCCAAGCCAAAGATCACAGAATCAGGCCACAAAAAGAGGGCAGTGACATGACCAAATACACAACTCAACGTTTGAACCCACCGTTTAGTTGTTTTGAAACATTTAGACCACGTCCCAATCTCTTTTTTTGCTTTTATGTAGCTCTTCTCGAAGATTACCGCTGTCACTACGAGTCATTCTTAAATACTGTGTATCAATGTTAAGGAGTAGGCATAGAGGTGTTTTGTGTAACTTGTTGATATCTTTACATTTCCAGCACAAGTTGTTTAAGGTCCACTATGTGTAAGAATTAGTCACATAAAGCCGTTTACACATTATCAGTTCTTTTAAAGGCAATCCTTGCGGCTTCTGTGGGATATATACACACACACACACATATATATATATAGTGTCCACTTAGGATTTAAATAAAGATAATTTTCCACTGTCCTATCAGTTAATGGAATAAAGAGAAAAAAAATATTTTTCTTTACAGATGGAGCAGCATTAATGGAGCCTGAGTTGCTGTTTCACTCTTGCCTTGCTTTCTTCGAAGAGGCCCTTCAAATTCTCTACGATCCTAATAATAATCAGAAAAAGTTGTTATCACTGGACATGTTCATCGCTACATTTGACATAAATAGGACACATTGTTCTTGAAAAAGCCTCGGGGGAATTGTTTTGCCTTCCCACTGATGTTTTTCACACTAGTGGCATAAAGATGGAATTCATTTCAGGGATCAATGAAAAATGCATCACTCGCTTACTCAGTCCCTTTCTTCAACTTCTTTTGAAAGTTTCATGCTGCAGAGCTGTAATTAGAGATTTTCTCCCTCTTGCAACGTGCTGAACAACTAAACACCTCACGAGGTGCTCACTCCCCACTGATTGCAACAGCACCACAGGTCTTTCTTACACTTTTAACACATCCTTCACATGCCAGCAGTTTTGTATTGAACCTCAGTGCCATGCCCACAGGGCAAAACACCATCTGCAACTCATAACAAGCTCACCTCTCCTTCATTAACTTCTTTCACTTTAAGAAAAACAATGCCATTGCGATCCCCCACCTTGTTACTCCAAAGTGATTTGAAAATGGTTTGTTTACCCCTGAAGGCCTAATAAATACCAAGAATAATGGAGTAAGTATAGAGAACTAATGGTAACCGCAACATTTGATCCCATTCATTGTCATTCTGTCGCTTTTTCATTAAGAAGAATGGTCTTTAAGGTGTTCTACACATATGAGAATTCAGCTTTTCCTGACTATGACCTTTCATATTGTTCAAAATGAGACTTTACAAATGAGACTATTGTATTTAAGCTGTTCCCCTCTGTTTTGTTCTGCTGCTGAGGGGAAAAGGTCAGGGCTCGGCTTAATCCTTTCACATATAAGAACAAGCAGGAATCAAATCCAAAGAACAGCTTGAGATGAAATCCTTAACATGCCAAAAAAAAGAAAAGGAGAGGGGGGTGGGCTGATTCGAAATACCTCCTTATAACTGCCTTGTGTCGAAGATACTGCAAGATAGAAGTAATACATTTCAGATGACTCATCTGAAACTAAAACTACAATAAGCCAAACTGGATCTGTTTTCAAGTGAAAGTAGTTTTCAGGCTCTCTGTCATACTAACCTGGCAAAAAGGGGATGCCTTGTTGAGCCTAGCCTAACAACAGTAGAAAGTTTCTCCACATAAATCAGAAACGACTAAATGAAAAACACAAATCATCAATCTGTGCTCAAGTTAACGTCTCAAATCATGTAAAAGCCCTTTTCCCTCCTTTCTCTCCTTGTGTTACTTTTCATACTGATGATGTCAAATGATTGAATTTGTTCCAGAGAACAGTCTTAGAGGCATAATCCCTTCCCACATTATGACCTTAACCTTTTCTGGTGATTGTGGAACTTGACAGGATGTGAAGAAAAATACCCACTCCTGTTACAAGCTGCTCCTCTCCTGAAAAAAAAAACCCAATTCTTTTTTTCCCCCCTGACTATTCTCTGGACAGATAGTTTCACGGTACAGAACAGGCAGTTCACTCAAAGTCAGACCACATGTCAAAAATAGTCTTGTGGTTAAGTCCATGATTGTTAATGTGATGAAACTTGCAGCAGGAGACCAAGACCTTAATAAAACCATCAAGGGACAAACTCCAGAGTTGCACTCCCTGGATGCTTCATTACCACCTTTAGTGCTGTTGGCTTGTCAACAGGATTACACGCACACACATAAAACAACAACTGGACTGGCCAGTATGTTTTTTTTAATTTATACATTTGGACTGGATCAAGATTGGATTCTGCAGTAAGCAATAATATGGCCCAAACTGTATTTGCATGGGTGTCTTAATAAAAGCAAATTCGGACCATCATCAATCACGAAGAGTGCTCCATGTGAAAATTATTTGTCAAAAAAATAACTATTATTAACAAGCTGCCAAGTGCATTATGCTTTTTTTCCTGATTTCAGCCATTCAGTTTTATATCTATAAAATGATAAAAACAGTTTTCTAGCATTTCACAAAAGTTTTGTGAAATGTTTCCGATGTAGAAGAGCTTGAAATAATTTTAAAACTGGTATAAAACATTTGGGGAAACAATGCAAAGTTGGGAGTATACCTCGACATTTATAGTGCAGATTTGCATTAGGAGGATTGGACTTTTGGCCAGTTTGCAGAGGTCTGTGCTCTCTGAAAGCACTTCTATAGTTGACAATTAATTGGATGCTTAAACCAACTTTTGGACTCTATTTCCATTTTGGTAACAAGAAAAACCAAGAAAATATCGGTTTATTATTAACAAATAAGCTGCAGCCTCAAAAGTGACTTGGACCATTTGTTGCACACTTCCTCGAGAGACTAATTTATCTCCTTCAAATAAGACTGAACTGTCCAATTCCTAAAAATGACATGAGATATTTTTATATTAGGATGCATCTCAATTCTCTGTTGTCAGACTTTAACATTGTCAAGTTGGCATAGATCCCAGTTTACTTTGGGAAATGATTTGAACATTCACCAGTGAACACTGGAGGTCAAACTGCCAACAGAAAGGTTTCAAGTGAAACATTGAGGGAGACAGAGAGGTAAACACTCAACTCAGTCTGATCACATACACCAAACTAAGTCTTCAAAGCAGCTGCATTGTCACAAATGAAAATACATTCCTTGAAATAAATCTGGTCACGAGGTCTATTAGCTTCTTATAATGCCGTATGTAGAAGCAATGTTCCAGTTTAGTCAAGACCTTGTTTTGGTCACACTTTCTACATCACAACAATTTTCAGCACTGTGGGGTACATTTTTATCAAAAGACCACTTGTGATAAACTGTAATGGATTTGCAGCAGCTAACTAAGGGAGTTAAAATAACTGGGGTATTCATAAATGGATGGCCAGGACAGTTAGTTAAATGTTAATCATTGAACATATGTGATGGTGCGCTCCAAAAGGTGCATGTTAACAAGTGGTAAGAGGCATGAAACACTGCGTACAGTGTGCTACTTTTAAGTGCAGGATAAACCCACTGTTCCCAGCTGACCCACATATTTATTTGAGGGATGTAAATGTATATAGTAACCTATAGACAAAGCAGTGACCCAGGACAAAAACACTTCTGTTCCTTATGCTCTGCTTCAATCTCATTGTGAGGATCACAACAGCACACAGTGTGGTTACTCACCCACTTTGAACTGAGACGTCTTGTCCTCTGGGTTGGCATGCTCCTTCACAAGCATCATATGCAAGATGCCAAAAGAGTTTTGGATGCCAAAGATGGACCCATTGCACCAGGTGGCTGCAAAAACCACCAGCCAGCCGTAGCCTCCTTCTGGTGGGACGAATCCGGCTCCATGCCCGGGGTTCTCCACATGGACCCCGGCCTCTGGTTCAGATGCCGAGGAGAGCTGCGGCTTGGACCCGGCCTCAATCAGCTGCAAGGTGCTGTCCTCCTGCACGATTTTACACTCGCTGTCAACCGCCTGGTCCTCCTTACTCGTGTCTACTTGACCATCCCTTTGCTCCATCTGTGGATCTGCACCTGGCTCTTCTCTGTGGGACTCTCCGCTGGACGGCTGCGCCTGGTTGTCTAACCCGTTGATCCCCATGCTGTTTGCTCTGATTGAGAGGTGACTATGGGCTCTTGGCGCACATGCATGAGATGTAGGTCACTGACATAAGCGGACCAATTTGAGTAACATAAATTGGTTGGCTACCTGTCCAAATGTAAGATAGACGGTCCTCAGTCGTCCTACACGAGGAGTGAAACCAAAGTCTGAGCGTCAACTTGAGTGGATAGACACAAACATGCAAAAGCCAAATGTGTCATTCTGGTCGGAGGTCTGTATGTTTCCAGGAAATATTAGGCACCGCCTACTTCTCCTATAGAGCTGATCTGTCTAAGAACAGCCTATAGAGACAAGACCATGTATTTACTTTTGCTGGCTTCCCCACTCGTTGCCAAAAATGATCATCAACCTGTGAAACGTCCGCTCCGCCTCGACCTGTTATACGGTCCTTCGCACGGTCCACCACATCCCTCGGAAGATAACAAGAGTTGAGAAGGCGATCCGTCCCTTTTCATCTGCTTTCTTTAACAGCTGTAAATGTGGAATAAGAAGGCCCGTGTGGATCCCACGGGCTGGCTAGACTCTTGAGTGTCAACATAGCTTGAGCCGTCATTCAACGGCTTGCCTCCGCCTCCTTTTCCCCGGCGAACGGACAGTTCGAGCCAATGATCGGGCTCCGTCACCATGACGACAATATTTGTGGGACGAGCTTACACTTCGGGTTGTATCGGCTTCACGGAAAGACCCGAATGGTCATATATATATTTATATACAGCCCTTAAAGATAAACGTTCTCGTTTAGGCTACTGTTACGTATGCAGGCTATACTTTCTCCCTTAGAGAGACTCAGACTGCACTGATAACAAGAGTTCACCCTCCCCTTCCTTAACCGTCAACAGGGACGGTTACAAACACAGATTAAAAATAATAAGAAGGCAAATAAGCCGCAAAAAGGAGGAATAAGTGGGTTGTTTTTCCCTGGTGCTTATTTTAGCCTTCAGATAGATGTCCAAATCGCTTTAGCCTTCATAACATGTCTTACGCCAGGCATAGTGACTTGTCTTTTCGACTTTTAACAACAAGGTAACAATCAACGACTTAGCCTAACTATGCTAAATTAGGCTACTTTGTTTTAATGATTGATTACAATTAAGATGTCTACTCAAAACAGTTAAACGCTTGAAATAGGCTTCATGTTAGGCTACACTGAGCCTACGTCTCACTTCATGGTAATAAGGTATGGTAATAGTTTCTCTGTAGCCTGCGTGACATTTCCTGTATATCCTACTTTACAAGAGTTTGGCTTTAGCCCATGTCTGCTTAATTTTTCTGTTTTCTCAGTTCTGTTTTTTTTTTTTAATTATTATTAATAAAAATCAGTGTTGCAAAGTTACTATGCTTATTCAACAAAAATATCTGCCTGTGAAAACTAGGCTTTAAAGAAGGTAACAATTAGGCCTAGACTACTCAAGAATTCGTTTCAGCAAAAGTATGATCATCGTAGTTTACTGGCGGTGGCAGGAATAATGTTTCCTGAAATGTATTTATCATAGTAGCAGTGAGTAGGCATATTCAGATATTAAACTTTGCCATGGTCAAATTCTGTGTTCAAATCCATAGAATAAAGAAAATAGGTCAACCGGACAGTCTCCTAACAAAAGATGCTCCTGCCCTTCTGAACAACCCTGTGAAGTGAGAACTATGGGACCAGAGAGGAGGAGTGTCCTGCCACAGTGAATTAGACCAGGGGTTCCCAAACTTTGCAGCTTGCGACCCCCATTATGACGGTGATAGATACTTGGGACCCCACATTTGACGCACTAGGTCAAAACACTGGCATTAAAACAGCAAACAATAACCCAAACACCATCATATTATTTTTGTAATTTATTTGTAAGAAACTACTTTTTTTACCTACTGTATTTTAAAATTAATGGGTGAAATATCCAATTTTAAACCATTTTTATATGTTTTTGAAAGGAATCTCACGACCCCCCTAACAGTGTTCCGTGACCCCCCCAGTGGGCCGCGACCCCCACTTTGGGAACCACTGAATTAGACAGTGAGATTATTTCACACTAGAACAAAGTTATTAAGTGAGTGAACAATGAAAACGCATTTGCAATCTTCTTCCAACGCCATGTGTGAGGGGTCAAGACAATGTGTTTAATTTTGTATTCTTTTATTGATGGAAAAAGTCAGAGACTCTAACAGTCTTCTATATGTTGAGCTTGGTTATCATTTTCTGGCAAGAAGAATGGATAAAATACTGTCAGCCAATTTAAAAAATGTTTTGTATTAAAATAAAGGAAATACACTTATTTACATTATCCAAGAGATTCTCTGTTTTTTTCATGTGATAGGACTAATAGGCCGCAAAAACAGCTTTTCACCACTGAGTGGAGCTACAACTCTTTGTAAAAGGATTTGATCAGGACCACAACGATAAGAGCAGATGTCAGAAGTTACCCAACATTTACTGAATGGTGTCGTTTATTCAAGGAGAGATTTTCTCAATATGTCAGAGTTCAGTTGAACATAACCTAAAATCAGTTAATTTATGCTTTTTAGGTAACAAAACACAGTGTTCATCATGGTGTTAACAGTTCATCTGTGGTGGGTTTTGTGGTGGGTTTCATTTGCTGCTTTAGATGTATTTCATAGTGCGTGCTTACTCATTATTTTGTTGTCAGAGTATGACACTTGAATAGAACTGAGCCATCGTTAAATAACACCAGATTTTTTCCTACAGTTCGGGCAGTTGATGATCTGTTGTTGTAGTGTTACACAAGGCTTCTACTTTATTGTGTTAAGTATAAAAGCGCTCTTATTTTTCAGTTAGATTCAACAGAATTACCCCCTATAGAGAAGACTTAAACAGGTGAGATATCAACCAACACATCTGCAGTATGTATTGTGACTATTGATTATGATCAAAAGAGCCGACATACAGCATATAGAAATTTGCACATTATACTGGGAGATTTATTTGGTAAATGGACTTGAGTTTACACCGCTTTTCTTATCTTCTGAGTACTCAAAGCACTTTTACACCGCATGTTACACCTACCCCTTCACAGACTGATGGCAGTGGTTGCTATGTAAAGTGCTAATCCCATTCATACACCGCCTAAGTGTCTTGTCCAAGGAGACATCGGACATGTTGCTGGGGATCAAACCTTCGACCGATTGAGAGGCAACGACTCTACCAACTGAGCCACAGCCGCCCTTAACCCTTTACCCTTCGCATGGTAACTCATTATTTTGCTCACCTGAGATATGACAACACATGGTTTCAGCCATTTCCTTTGACGTCTATTCAGAATGTTAAGCTCCAATGCTGCTGTTTATGTCGTGCTGCTGTGCAAGTGGTATGTAAACATAGTAAATCTGACATATCACTATCATTCACTGCCTCCAGATTGATCAGCAGCTGAAAAGAGGATTGCTGGTGATAATTCAGAGAGACATTTGGGTCATACTTCAAGGTAAAACAGCATACTTGATAGCCCATCAGCCAACAGCATTCTGCTACTCACTAGCTAACATTACTGTTTCAGAGTTATATGATAAAAAAAAGGGTTCAATCAATTGAAGTTTCAAATCACATATTTGGTGCATTCATTTCAACATGAGTTTGAAACATACTATAATCAAGCAATGTGATGTAGTGTCTTGTTGTCTCCTGACATGACCTCAGAAATGATCGCAGATTGACTACAATGTACAACTTGTAAAACTAGAACACAACACTGCCACATTATCCTTTCGTAATACATTTTGGGCAAACCACCATGAGCGTTCCATCAGAGTAAAGTGGCTTTTAGTGTATAATCATCACATAAATAAGTCAGAGATGTCCAATGTAACAGAAATATGACCCCCCCCCCCCCAAAAAAAACAAAAAAAAAAACAAGGGAGGGTAACTTCAGCTGGAATTAAATTGAGCTCATATTGAAGTAGGATAGCTTCTCTGTTTACCACTCTTCAAATTTAGCATTGATTATAATCACACAAACATTAAGTGGAGGTTGGAATGTGAAACATCATCATGATTTGATGGAGGTTCCTTACAGGGTCTGTTTCAAATTATCCCCTTGAGAAACAGCAAGACTTTACGGCCCACTCTGGCTCCACAGTGGGGTTTTTAACCAAAAATAGCAGTTCCGACGACTTCACAGAGTCTGGTTTCACGACTGCCCTGGGCTTCCTCTTGAATGAAGTGGGGGTCAAAGGTGAGCGGAATACAACCAATGGTAGTGCTTCCTTTTTGGAATTGGAATATTTCAACTCCTCAGAGAGAGGTGTAGGCAGGAGAGGGAATGAGCATCTGTGAGAGGCCCACACATTTCTGAGTGGACATGATAAGTCTCATGCTGAAAGATGAAGATGACTAAAAATGAAAGTAAAGTTTTTTTAAAGGAATTCTTGTCTTAAATGAGTATTGTTTGTTTCTATGTTAAGAAATAACTGTCCTAATGTATTGTCTTGTGAAATTTGGTGCTATCTAAAATCAAGTGATGGTGTGGAGGGTACATGCAGGTTGTAAGGCGCATGTTCAGCAGCATGCTCAAACATGTGGTGGTGGGAGGCGGTCGAATCATTATCTAAAGCAGTACAGTGTGACTCATACTCAGTTGCTGCCTTTATTCCTTGGGGGCTTTGGAGCTAGAGTTTGTATTATAACTTCAGCATGTCAGGCCTGCCACTGGCAGTGGACAATAACATACAGTAAACAATGATTCCTTAGTGACGTCGCCCACTTTGAAGAAAAGCTTTGAACTGTTTGAATTCGAACTCTGTGGACAGATTTACTTACTGGAGGTGAAACGGGGATATCAGTGGGACAATCTGAGTGTAGAGGCTATAGGTGTATGCCTCTGTGCTGTAGCTTGGTAGCTCATTCCAGAAATTCATCAGGGATGACTTGCATGCTCATGATCATGAATGTGACTAAACAAAGAGCTGCCCATTAGTCACTTCACTGCATAATTGGGTGGGATTGTAAGTGGTTTAAAGTATCTTATTGTAAATCATGGACCAAACAAATATGCTGAGAATGCTTTTGTTTTTCTCAATGACAAGAGAAAAGTATGCCATATTTAAAGGCAAAACAATAATAAAAAAAAAAATAATAATAATTTAACACTTGTTTGTGTTAGTCCTCTTTCTAATCCTCTTTCCTTATTTGACCAAAAGAGATGTTCTTTTGTTTTGTAATCCGGCCTGTAAACTATTACAAGCTCACTAATACAAATGGCATGTGAGCCTGTTGTTGTTGTTTATAATGTTGATTTTCCTTCCAGGGGCCACACACACAATGTTTATGTGTTCATGGACTAATTGTCTGATCACCCACTCATTCACAGAAACAGTGACACACTTGTCTTTGGGACCATGTTAGACTCTCAGAGCTTTACCGGTAAAGTGTTTGCGTAACATTGTGGGATTGAAAGCAACTCCAATTTATATGCTTTATTGAGGAAACCACAGTGAAAGAAAGTAATGATGCTATATAGTATAATTTGGTATAGTCTGTGTAAGACATATGAGAACACTTGCCTGTAACAAACAATGATTTATACTCAAAGTTCCTGAAAATGGATTTTGTTGCTCAGGAATGAAGGCTGAAATGAATCATTTAGACTTCTGATAAGTCGCAGTAACCTGTACCATCCAGTTCCGGGCAGGTTGTAGCAAATTATCAGCTCCTGAAAGTAGATATGGGACTGATGGGGGTGGAGGAGATTGTTGTCTCTTGTAGCCAAAACAACCTGAAACTCACAGCTAAAATACAAAAGATGAGGAAAGACCTGAGGAGAAGCTGAGAACACATACAGTACATCTGTCTTCTCCACTAAAGTTAAATATGTGGTTAAAATGCACAATGCATGTCCTTAGACGTTTGACTCTGTTCTGCTTATTATCAGGCAAGGAGAGGTACCTGCATGCTGGTGCTTTGAGATGTAAACATGAGGTTGTTAACATTTTTGCTTTGATATTACTTATTTTTTTAACATTTGCTAATCAGCAATGACACAAAGTACACCTAATGCTAACACGAATGTCATTATAGTTTAGTATTGGACAGTTCCTTAGAAGGGAGAGGATCGTCTGTGTCAAATTATGTCAGTCATTGCTGTATTGTTAAGATATTATTTTCAAGACCAAATAATGTAGACCTCATGTCAGCAATATATGAGTCAAAGCCAGATAACCATCAAAGTCAGTAGTATCAACTATTATTTGTACAAAGAAAATAGTCCTTTAGTGGATAAATGAAAAATTTTACTGGCTGGTGGCGTTAGATGACATGCCATGGATAACCACTGATACCTGTTTAATTCCAAATTTCATGGTCATCGTTCGATTTTTCAGTAAGAATGCAAAGCTGTAAACGTCGTGGTACATGTTGAGGAAAAGTCAGGGGAACACCAAAATCAGTGGGATTCTCAGGGGACCATGAAAGAATGCACCAAATCTTAAGATCATCAATTCTATAGTTTTTGAGAAATATTAGGAAGATGTCCCCCGGTGGTGTACCAACTTAAAGTTACACATATCATCCCATCAGTGAACGCTCTTTGAGAATTCCTTGGAACAGTGATCCCCTATAACCCAAGAGGAGATATTTATCAGCACCTCCCTAGAAATATTATCACTTAAAAACTGGAAGTGATCATTCTGCTTTTCCATGCAGTCCATTAAAATGTGTTTTTCATCTAGCCCAGAGAAATAATAATTATTATTAACATGCCCTCTGCGTATTTGACAGCCAGAATCAAGACATAAACTGAGGAATACTGAAGACTGGGCCTCCTTTTCCAAGCAACGCTCGTAAATCTCGACCAATTCTACGACGAGCTTGTGGCAGGGAGCTTGTAATTTCTAAGGCTGTGACTCACCGACGCTCTCCAAGCTGATTAGACATAATAAAACGAGTCCACTTTGCGATTGTTGCAACAAAAAATCTGCTCTAGACCCAGTTGTTTTTATTTATTCATTTATTCAAGATTTTATATTAATTGCTTGACCTAATTAGTCTGGCCTGCCAGAAAGGAGATGGATTTATTATATGTTTGAAAGCCACTCTGGCTTCACTTTTCACTTTACATCACAGCTGAGCAGGTCTGGAGCTGAGCTTTGGGTGTGCAGAACACATTTCTAACACATTTCATTTTCCCCATGGAAACTAGCCCAAAAGTAAAGTAAAGTAAGTAAAAACACATTTTCTTCCTGGTCCATTCATTTCTATATAAAAAACAATTATAAATCTGTTCTCTGCTTCCTGCTCTTTTGCTCAAGAGACTATATATTTTAAGTCTCTCTTCAGTGTTTATTCATCTCCAAATAATTCATATTGTGTGGGCCTTCTCCTTTTTATGTTGATATAACATGTGCCTGTATATGAACATAAAAAGTTGATTTGTACGTATAAGTTCACTCTCTCACAACCCGACTCAACTGCAGTTAGCCCTTATAGCGTAGTCGTGCTTCTTATACTTGGTGAGACATTCTTCAAGAAATGTCCTTGTATCTGCACATGTCAAAAACTTAACAATAAACAGACACTGTTTCAACTCGACTGAAACTCAAGAGGATTTCAGTAATGCAGGACGAGTCATTTCTTTGGAAAGATAGGGACCTCTGCCTCTGTACTTTTTTTCTCAGCTACACAACATGGGCACTCTGAAAAAGAAAGAACTCGCCTATACTTTGCCAGCTTCATCCCCTAAAAGGATGAGAATAGAGAGAGCATTTGTCGTTCCCCTCCAGCTTGTCACAAGGGGCCACAAGAGGAGGGGGGGGGGGTCCATAATAAACACACTTGCATGCATTCTTGACCCCCCACTATCAAAGACACACATAAACACACACTGAAGTGCTGTTTATTTCCACAACACCTGGAGACCGTGAAGGAAGTTAGCTCTTAAATAAGTAATAAGAAACAGGCAGCTACACATTCAGATTACACAAGCACATGAAACAAGCGCATGCATGCCTCCTGCTAGGGCTGAGCTAATTAATATGCCGAGCAGCACACCGGCACATGGAGGGTCTGCCCCAAATCCACTTCTTTCCAACACACAGAAAAATTCCAAGTAAAGAAAAAGAAAAAAAAGAAAGAAGACTATGGATGTCTGGTTTGAGGCCCTGCTGAGAAAAAGAAGGAGGCATGATGTGGAAAAAAAATGAGAAGAAAGGCATGAAACGTAAAAAAAAGGGGTGGGAGAGGCACAGAGGGAAGAAGAGAATGAGGGGGTGTCGAGGAGGAGGAGAGTCTGAGGGAAACAACTTAAGACGGTGAGAACGGAGTGAGCACACATTGAGAGCAGACAGAGTGGGAACACGAGAGGACCAAAAGAATAAAGGCTTAAAAAATCCATCACCAACAAACAGGTACAGAAAACCTTTTTAAACATTTCTGCTCTTTACTTTCAAGTTGGTTTTACACTGAATTACTGATGTCGGTGGACCAGGTGCAAAATAATGAAGATTATTTGCTGCATTTAAGTGCTTTTAAAAACCTCTTCTCACTATTCTGATTATCATTAATTGATCAAAAGATGTAACATGAAACCTGTTTAAGTTGTGATTCAGCTTTCTGGTTCCCACAGAACGCCACTGGCTTGTTTCCAGGAGACAATAGATGTGCTAATGGGGTCACCCCAAGAGTTGTGCTTTTTTCCCCTGCCCTCAGCATTTATTTATGTAAAGCACAGGATGGAAACCAAAAGACCGCAAATATTTGTGTATAACAGAGAGGCATTTCCGAGCAATAAACTTTAGGTAAACAACATCATAGTAACACACTGAAGAAATTAGTGTTGTTTTTTAAAACCTTCTTGTCTTCTGTCAGAACAAAAACCTTGCGGTGGGCTCGTGAACCCCACATAGAGGCTCAAAGCGGGCGGCCCAGGTTCGAATCCAACCTGTGGCTCATTTTTACGCATGTCATTTCTAACTTTCTCTCTCCCCAATTAATGACTCTATCCACTACCCTTTTTTTTCTAAATAAAGGCATACAAATATATAGTATTCCTATTTCTAAGAAATACCATGAATCTTTTAAATATATCGTCTATTGTCGTATCAAAGTTCTGTTTTTTTTGACGCATTGACCTCTACTACAATAGTTTCAGTTCCCTTATTGGGCTTTACAATTTGTATGACTGAGATCCTGGTATCATTGTTTGATATATTTAGTCCATAAAGAAAAAATGACTAATATATTAGACTAAATTGATCAACTCATAAAGGCGTCTCTGAACAATGTTTGGGATTTTTATTATGGCTGTATTATTTGCTCATCATTTGTCTTTTCCTCCCATAGATATGATGTCATTGTACAGGAACCTGACTGTGCTTCTCCTTTTTCTGATTGCCGCCCTGCTACCCAGCTCCCACCTCTTTACGCACGCTGCCTCTGCCTCTCCTCCAGTCACTCGTCCTCGCATCAATTACACTTCCTTAGATGACTATGAAGATGAAGTGTTCGTCAAGAAGACCACTCCTGTCAGAAGTGGTCCGCCACAGCTTTGCAAATTCGACTCCTGCTCAGAGAATCAGGAGCCATGTGATGTCCTTGAAGCTAAACACGGGTGCCTCTGTCCCGGGGTCAGTAGGGCAAATGTGCCTCCTCATGCACCCCGCATCCAAGCGCTACTGCCAATCAATGCAGGGGCTGACAGCGGGAAGCTAGAGATCCAGTGGTGTGCTCCATCTTCCGTGGTGTCTGGGTACAGAGTGGTGATAGAGGGAAGTGAAGGTGACGCCTTTGAGTTCAGAGACGCTGCACGAAGAGGAGTGATCAGAACAGTCGAAGTTGGGACTAAGGTGTGTGTGGAGGCGGTAAACAATGCAGGAAGCAGCACCCCCTCAGCTTTCTCATGTATGCGGTTTGACCATTCTGAATCTTCAGACCATAAAATCCTGGCTGGAGTCATAGGTGGAGGAGTCACACTCCTTTTAATTCTTATCATTGTAGCTGTGATCCTCTGGAAGTATACGACGAATAAGAAGGCAAAGGGAGACTCAACAGATGGACTGGGGAACCCTACTTACAGCACAGAGGGGACTCTGTGATCCAGTTTAGTTCTGTACAGACAATTCATTCCTTTACACTGAATAGGCCCGTTAAGACAGGCTCTGGAGGGGCCTTAAATCAGGGAAGGCAATGCTGTAATCATGAACAAAAAACAAAATAGTTCTAGTTTTTTGTTCATTGTAGAATAAAGAAGTTGTTTACACTCTTGTTTAGGGATATTTAAACATAATGGGATCAAGATGAGTGTAATTTATTGAATAACACGAACTAAAGGGTAATTCTTTTAAAAAGTGGTACGATCAAGGCTAATTTGCGGGCAAATTAACCTTTGTAAATTTAATGTAGTCTTGTTTTTTTTTATCTTATCATGGCTGGATTTGATTGTTGAATTCATTTTGTACTTACTGACCTGAGCTTTTGTAATAAAATAAAACGTATTTTAATAAATTCTGTCCAGACTCAATTATGTTTTTTGTGGAATTAAAACAGGCTGTCCAAAGTGTTCTATAAATAATGATTTCAATTGAGATCTAGTGACTGTTTCTGCCATATTATATGATTGCCCCATACAAACCTTTTAAGCCATTCAGTTATTGATTATTCTTGTTACAAATGTAAGTATCTGCATTTGACATATTTCTCTTTCATTAGGCCTAACTCTTTATCAAATCTGTCATCAATCTGTCCTTGGTGGAAAGTACTTCATTTTTCACAAAATGAAAAATATTATGATACTTTTTTTTTTTTACCACACTGGAGTTTTGGTAGAGAAATGTGAAAGTTGGAGAAATGTACAGATGATGTGGGACTGTAGGCTATATGTTCATAACTCTAAACACAAACTGTCCTCAAAGGAAAATGTAGTCCCTGTAACTCTGTTTGAAGATAAAATGCGACACGAGAAGTTATGGTGGGGGCCCTCAACACCGTAACTCTCCTGGTAGCTTTTTAACTCCAAACAGTGTTCCAGGGACCCAATTCCTCCTTTAAATAAAGTTTCTGTATTTGGTTCAGAAAATAAAGTATAGAATTGTTTCACTTCTCTAACTCTAAAATTTCACTACCAAATGTAGATAGTGCACCTTTTAGAACATACTACTTTCTTAATTAATTTAGAGCTTTAGTTAACAAGTTACAAAAACAAAAAATACGACATATAAAGAATGTAGAAAACAAAACAAAAAAAAACTGTTCTCTAATATAGGATGTGTAAATATTGTATTACTTTGAGAGGGGCCCTATTGAATGACTTTACTTTTGAAACTTTAGTAAATCGTTACAGGAGCCTAATTCTTAATGTGAATCTCTTTATTGAATAGATTTTGTTGTAAGAGAATATTTTGTACATTGTGTAATCCCTAATTTCTATTAAGAATAATTTCCCCCAACACTGTCCGTATTCATGAAAATACAATTTCAATTTCTAAAACTTTTATTTTGAAGGTCCCGTTAGTGTGATATGCATTTTCATTGGCTAACGTACAAAGTCCATCAGGTGAGGTCCCGCCTTCCCTCTACGTCTCATCCACCGATTAGTCATTAACTATATGAGGAAGTGTATTTGTTTATAGTTTATGGAATAAGCGTTTTCACAGCTTGAATTACGCAGGATGGCCAGTTCAGGTGAGTCTTCAGTCATCCCACTCTTATAGTTTCAATGATGTCCGCTTGTGAGAATTTGTGAATGACTGCCGATTATGTTTATACCACTGAATAGTTAGTTAACATAGCCTATGTTGAGTTAACAGGATATAGTTAGGCTAATGGTAATTAATATTGCAAAAGATTATCGCAGGTAAAGTTGCTTTATGGTTTATTGGTTTAAGTTTATCAGCTGAGATGACCAGAAACGTTCTTGTTACTCATACATGTTTAGTTCTCTTCCAATTCCTTGTAAAAAAAAAAACCTTCAGTGATATCTTTATTGAAGTTCATGGCACAAAGATTAAGAATGACTCAGCAGACAAAAACAAGGTGTAAACCCGGAAGCTACCTGTATCCTTAGGGAAAGTCAGCTAGTTGCCCAAGCAACTATAAACAAACAGTTTCCTAGTTTCCCCCTGAAGTGAAGCTAAACAAGGCAAGTGTTGGTATAATCTGTCAGGTCAAAGAGGAGTGGGGGCACAAACCTTTTCCTCTTATCTTCAGACACACACACACACACACACACACACACACACACACACACACACACACACACAGTTAAGTAAAAGTAGTGCCAGCACGAGAGTCAAATGTGCCCTTTTAGCTTAGACCTTTTCAATCTTTTATTATTTTTTAACAATGACAAGATTGAATACTGATTCCAGTACTTTAAATCAACATATCATGAATAGTATGTTGTCACCAGTGCTTCCTTTCCTCAACATTTTAAAGCTCAGGAAAAATGGATAGCTTTAGCACTAACAACTGAGCATATTGTGACAGAACCAAATCACTGAATTTTATTGCCACAGTATTCTTCAAAGTCTGCTACATCGCGAATACGCACTCTTACAGCGTGCAGGTACACACAGAATGTGTCGTCATCAAACAAACAGCAATCGGTTTTGTTTCAAATGCAGTTAAGATGATAATTAAGTAGTTATAATAACATTCAGGTTCAGGATGTTCTATCACTCGAAGCCTCACCTGTGTTTTAAAAAAAGTGAATTATTCAATTTTCAACAATATCTTAGATTAAAGCAAATTGTTTTGTCACTTGAAGCCAAACTTGTGCTTTAAAAAAAGTAATGATAAAATGATTTTATGGGGATATTTAACAATATGTTATCAGACTTTGCAAAGCTTTTAATGTGTTTGCTCCATCATTGACAGACAAGGCAGAAATCTCCTACGAGGATCTGAAAGCGCTCATGGCAAAGAGCGAGAAGCTCCTCCTGGTTGATGTTCGCACCAAAGAGGAGGTGGATAAAGGACGAATCCCAGGGTCAATTCACATCCATGGTGAATTTTTAAATTCAGACAAATAGAGAAATAAAACAAAACATGAAACTGACTCATTCTTTAGTAACCTAAACTTGGATTTTGAAAATTTAAAAAAAAATCAGAGAATCGAAAAAGACCAAGTACTTCGAGTTTTCTGTTGTATCTTTCATCACTACACTGATTTACACTAAAGTAAAGGTAACACCTTTACTTTAGTGTTACCATTTATTAAAAACGTTCAGACCAAAGTTCCTGTGGATGTGTTGTTGTGCATATGTATGTAAGTATATATGTATGTCCACAGTAGGCCTACTGTCTGTTTGTATTGCATTGGATGTAAATATTTTATTAATAATTTAGCTAAAAAAATGTTTTTCTTCCCTTCATCTCTCCCTCTTTAAATTATTCAGTTGATTCCGTAGAGGCTGCTTTTGCCCTAGAGCCCGAAGAATTCAAGGCCAAGTTTGGTGTCACCAAACCACCGCTGGATGCCCCCGAGCTGGTGTTATACTGCCAGATGGGAATGCGGGGGGGAAGGGCCACGAGTAAAGCCCAGGAACTTGGATATGTGAAGTAAATACATTATTTGTTACCATGCATTTATACAAATACACATACAGTTAATATGTATGTAAAACAGACAGCCTGTGTTTACTGCATTAATAGCCCTCATTGTTTTAAAATGTATCCTATGCCCTTGCAACAATTTCCTGTTAGAACATCTAGTTTTTTCTTTAATGTGTTCCTCTACCTTCTGTTTCAGCGCTTCTAATTATAAAGGAGGATACAAGGAGTGGTCTGCCAAAGAGGGAAACTGATTAACATACCATTTATGTAAAGCAATGTGAAAGCCAGATGGGAAAATTGAGAAACATTTTGATATGTTTTATGTTGTATTTTGATACTAGGCTGCGTCAATGTTGACAAATGTTTGAAATAAAGAAAATTATATTACAATGTTTCTGTTATCTACTCTTATTTACATATCTTTTGGGGCTAGCAATATCTGGACATGCAAATATTAGAAGAAAACAGTTTCTGCTTAAAAAAAAAAAAGAGATTCACACAGCAGTTGTAGAAAAATATTAAATACAACTGAAATAAAGTACAAACAGGGAGTACAATTTTGAAAAAAGTCTGCTGAGAAAACAAACATGATTCTTTCTTCCTTTGTGAAAGTTGTATTTTTATGTGTTGAACTATTTTGTCTTTTGTGCAAAATGATGTGGTTGAAAGCCCAATAATTATAATTAGCAGGTGGACCCTATGTTCAGATAAAGTTCTCAATAACTTCTGCAAATTGGTTTCAGTTTTAAGAGATGACAAGGAGTTTATATTCATTAATTACAGGCTAGTTCAGTTTCAGTAAACCTCATTTTTTATTTTCAGGTACCTTATTTTAAAGAACTAATATAATAAATTCTGCAAGTTTTTATTCATGTAAAGACAACTTTCTAATTTTCTCTTTCTATTTGTTATGTATTACCTGTAAACTGTCCATTTCTTAGCGTTGTCTGCTGTGACGAGTTGTACAAAGACTGGAAGCAGCTGAACTGTCTCCTGTCTTTGCGCTGCGCATGCGCCCCTGTTGAAATTCGGTAGAGCGCGCGTGAGGCGGTTCAACGTCAACATGCTCAGAGAGATTCAACAGGTAAACATTTGAATTGGGGTTTGGCCTCTTAAACATGACTTGTGGGCTAAGCTTTTGTTTAACGTTAAGCAGTTGTTTGCTATTGTTTCTGAAATGGACGGTGGTCAATATAAGCGTGAAGCTAATAAGCATTATAAAATGAAAGCAGTGCTACTTTTAACTAGCTACAGTCATAGTTTGTGGTTTTTTTTTTTTTTTTTGAATTTGGTCAAACCCAGGTGTTGCGGCTGATCATGTGTTTGAAAAAACAAAAGCATGGTTTGAAGACTACAGGAGGGCTTTTGGTGCTGATGTGGACGGACACAGAAGCTTCTGGTCAAACTTTGAACTGCAGTGGTAAAACTCATCTCTTCATCCTAATGTCAACCTGTGAAGACCTATACAGTTTATACCCTTTATTTAAAGATCCTAATTATGTTCATACGGACTTAATGTTCTGGGATAAGAAAAAGGTTTAAGCTGTAAAAGAAAACAATGATTTAATGGGTACATTCAGGCAAGAAAGGGGAACAAGGTTTACTTTTATTTACTTCTGCCTGTACCTGATAACTGTAGGGAAAAAAACAAGGTTTAAAGGAAACCTCAGCTCAGAAGTTAGTGCCATGCCCTGTTAATACCTCACTTTGTATTTAAAATAACTTTAAATTGAAGTTACTGATTCCAGCTGCTGTATGGAAATCCTTTCTAGAAAAGGTTAAAAAAAAAAATGACATGTCGCACAAATTGTCATAATCATGTTTACACTTGGTTTAAACTACAGTTGCAGCTGCTGGTCCCTGGTGTGCAGGGATTCACATGAAAGACCTCCAACGTGGTATGTAGTAATTAAATACCTCACACACAACATGAGCTTTTGTTTTCGCGCTGTATAAAATGTTTTATTCTGCGTTAGTCCTCCCAGATTTGGAGGAGAGCGTGTTTCACTGTGAATGGACATATCTTGAGCCTGACCCTGAGGAGCTGTGTACCTTTACTGAACTGTATGGTTCCCTCAGATTACTCCTTTCTATTCAGGTACAAACAACAATCACCCTTCACCTGCATATTGGCCTGAATAATGATACTAATATTGAAACCACGTCCTTTTTAAAACGTTATATGCACAACAGGGTTGGAAATTGTTGAAATGGTTTAAACTACCCGCGACGGTGGAAGGTAAATAAAAGCAGGCCTCTCTCCTCATATAAGCTCATATGCTTTTTAAAACGCATGTACTTTTAAAACACAATGGATTGCCTCTCAGTTGATCCTCAGAGGACATGGCTGCATTGGAAACTCCACCAGCCTATAACAAACATAAACGTCTTTTTTTTTAGGTTCATGAGCGAGACAAAGAGAATGTCAGTATTTTCTGTTATAGTCAAATACTGTTATCCTTGATTTTATATTATACGTCATTACAAAATAAAGTGGCAGGTAAAACAATTGTGACTGGTAGATTTTTTTTGAATCCACCAGTCACTGTGGCAGGTTGGCAAAAAGTTAATTTCCAACCCTGATGCGCAATAGTAACTTAATGGTATTTTGAAAAATGTGCTATTTTTAAAATTGTCTTTGTGGGATAACGTTACTGATTTTCTTTAGGGAACCAAAAGGAAAAACTTCAATCATACAGTAGTTAAATAAAACCTATTACTTATTCTAATCACATAAAGCATTAGTTTAGAGATTACATTTAAATTGTGCGTGAATGTGATTATGTTGTTGACATATTGTCTCTGTTGCTGTCCTCAGATTAAAGATACAAGTCTTGTCAGTCCAGAGTGGTGTGCTCACACAGAGGCCTTCCTACACACATTCAGTTTGGCTAATGCAGGGGTAGGCTCTCTTTCCCTGTGATATGTGCTGAAAGGTTGCATCAGCAATATTCTTCCAAAGCAGGTTACAGACATTTGACTGTCTTTTTTTTTTTTTTTTTTCACAGATCAAAATCCACCTCAAATTGAAACTCAGTCAGCAGACTGTTCAGCACGAGTTCAGGTAGGACTATGCAGGCAGAGCTCATGTTTCTTTTTCTCAGATGAGTCGAGCAAGTCTCCCCTCTTTTAAGTGACCTCATGATACAATGGATGTAACTTGTGTTGTGCAGTCATTGGTTTGCTTTGTATCACAAAAAATGTATCTGTTTGTTTTATATAGTTGCTTCAGCTTTTGCAAGAAAAAAACATCCTGCACACAAAGAATGCAAAGCGCTCAGGTTTCAATAGTCCCTGGCTATGCATTGTGCAATATTAGTAACAATATTACAGCAGTTGTTGTTTTTCTTGGTTTGCTTTTTTTTAAGAGCTAACATAATGTTTGGATTTGTGCAGAGGGAAAGTTAAGAAGAGAGTTGCCAGGGGTAACCAACCATCTCCGGTCTTGGACGTCACTTGTCGTACACAGTCAGTAATGCTGTCCTTCATATTATTTAATCTGTACATTCTTTTGTGGATCAAGGTTGTCTTGCTTTCAGTTGCGAAATAATAGAACTCATGAAGTTATTCTCATCAAAGGCCTCCAGTGTGTGTGAAAAAAGGATGCTGGTGTCTGGGAGGTCACCCTGTCTGTGGAAGCCAGATACCCCTCAGTATCCACCCTGATGCCATGGATCAGGGCCTGTTTGGGGAACTCAGCCTCCAGCCTGTCACTCTCCTGAGCCCCTGTGTGCTTCAGTACCCACATCTGACAACACAACTCACACAGATCAAAATATCCTTTGTTGATTTATGTGGAAAGAATTCCGAGTTGCAGCCAGGCAGGAGTTTCTGTTTAAGGGGCTTCTGCTTTTTGTAGAGCATGTGGTTCAGCTCACATCCTGAGCCTGTGACGTGGTCTCCAGCTGAATGTGAAAGCAGTGGTGAGGGTCAACACCTCAAGTCCATGGTCATGGGACACAGCTGGAAAACAGTGGATTACTCCCTGCGGACTGGGGCTGTGCTCGTCCCCCAAGTGACAGAGTCCAGATATCCTCTGGTCTTGATGACCGTTGAAAGTAAGGCCTGGCCATGCTGAGCCAGGACTTGGTCTACCAATGAACCGATGTGTTTAGACTTAGACTTAGACTTAGACTTAGACTTTCTTTATTGTCATTCAAACTTGTACTTTACAGTGCAGATAAGAACGAAATTTCGTTGCATTTGGCCCATTGTAGTGCAGGATAAAAACAGCAGCATGTATTTACATATAAAAAATAAAAATAAGGTGCAGATATAAATAGATATAAAAAGAAAAACTATGAGTAAAAATACTATACAGATAAATATATTGCACGTTATATTGTGTTTTACAGTCCAGTGAGGTAGTCCTGTGAGGGGGAATGGAGGGATTATTTTTTCCTGTTCAAAAGTCTTATGGCCTGTGGGAAGAAGCTGTTACAGAACCTGGAAGTTCTGCTTCGGAGGCTGCGGAACCTCTTTCCAGAGTCCAGCAGCGAAAACAGTCCTTGGTGGGGGTGGGAGGTGTCTCTGCTGATTTTCTGAGCCCTGGTCAGACAGCGGATCTTGTTGTTTTAATTTTGGACTGTCTCTCCTTGAGGATGTTCATAGTTTTGCACTTTTTGGGTTTGGGTTAAAAAAAAAAGAAGAGAACTACAGAGAAGTTCTTAGCTGTTTGTGGAAGTTTGATAGTCAGATTCATAAAGTCGTAGAAATGTTCAGAGAATCTGACATCAGTTGGGTGGGTGGAGGAGTGACGTTTGCTGGCAGCTTCAGATGGAGCGTGAGATCAGCAGGCAGATTTATGTCAGGTCAGCAGTAAAGTAGATGTTATACTGGACTGTCATGGTGACGGAAAATAACTGGCCAATATTCAAATCCCTGCCACGGGTCATAAGCTTTGATAAGTGACGGCGTGTGAGAGTAAGAAAGGTAAGAAGCTAAACTGCTGCGCTTTTGTGTTGACTTAGTCGTGCTGCTACAGGCTTCTTAAATGTATGCTTCTTCCTTGACTTTATATGTGTCCAGGTTTTGGTATACAGCCCCAGTAATGTCCCTGTCACAGGCCCCTCCATCTTCTTCCAGAACCTTCCTGCACATCTGGACTGTCAGGAACTGGGCATGCGCAGCCTTCACTGCTTCTCCTTCAAAGGTAGACAACAACCATGCACACTGATAACAGGGAATAATTAAGATCCTCTGCTAAGGGATCTATGAAGGTCATATTTCTTGGACAAGATTCAAGCTGATCTTGAAGTTGGTCTGAAGTCAAGGACTGTTAATCCTGCCTCAAGAAGAGACACCTTGAAACACTTGGATTCTTTGATATGAGGTCGAATGGAAAAATCCTAATTCAAAACACCGGTGTTTATTTATTGGGGTATGTATACACATCCCTATCCTGAAGCTTCTCATAAAACTTTAAAAGCCCATTATTAGAATCAGAAGAATGTACACATACAGGAATAAAAGCAAACAGCACGATGGACCCAGAAAGAAAATAGTCACAAAAACCTTAGCGGGACAGCACTCAGAGAACCCGGACTCCAACACTGCAGATCTGGTTTCTGTTAATAAAAAGACATCTCATTTTAATTATATCCATGTGCAAAGAATCTGCACCAGTGGTTTATCAAGATTGCAAACATTTAGTCCTTGTTTAAAAAGATGTGTTGCAACCATCTCACAGCAGATGTTTGTGGTGTGGGAAAATGTTTATATTGTGTTTGAGTTGGACATTGAATTGTCCTGTTTCTATCATGCTTAAATAATAAGTGTTCCTGTTTAACTTAAACCATCATTTTGAACCTTGTGTGTTCTGGTGCCACCACATAATCAAACTGTGAATGTATTTCTAGTTTCCACAAGAAAAAAAAGAAAACAGGTAGAAAACATTTTGCTGCTTTGTTAAAACAATGAGATTTTTTGTGGTGTTTACAAAAGACAATTCTTCTACTTTAATGTTTTTTCCCCAAATTAAACGTACAAATCCACAGTATGTTCTTTCAAATATAAGACATAAAATATTTACAACAAACAAAAATATTTTAATGGCTGTCAAAGTACTTGACATGCAGTAGGATTCAGTTTTAGATATATTATTCTTAAATACTGTCTGAAATTAAGCTGAATCTTCCCACACTACTCCCACCCTGCTGATATAACACGATAACACAACACTGTGCTGTACAGTCAGTTCATCATCAAGTCAAGACTATGCTAATATCTCAGAAACGTCTCTTGCATCAGTGTTGTTCTGTTTGTAGACTACACAATGATTCAAAACCAGCAGCTACATACTGTAAATGACAAGCAGCTTATTCATCCGCAGTACAAGCCACAAGCCCCATGATACAGCCTCTGTCACAACATCCACATTACTGAGAATTAGTCAACTCGACTTAACTTGTAGTACCTTGTCATTCATAAAAACATGCAGTCCAAAGTGCCTCACAAAAGAACAGACAGGAAATAACAGAAATTGATAGCAACAGAAAACAAAAAAAACAAGATGTCAGGTAGTACAAAGATTACAATTAAATAGAAATTAATACATGAATGAATAAATAAAATTAAAAACAATAAAGTAAAAGAATATATATTAGTGATGAATCAAATAATTTAGACATGGTAAAAAAAAAGTTGAACAAGACAAAAAAAAAATAGCAGAGATAAAACAAAGATAAACACGAGGCCAGATCAGAAAGGTCGGTCACATTAGTCTGACGAGCCGATGTTGTTGATGCAGGACAAGGAAAAGACTGTAAACATAATTTCAAACGTTGGACTTGAGTGAGATCAAGTTGTCTTGATAGAATTATAAAATCTAACTTTATAGTTACCTCTTGCCTCACCTAAAGGTGTGTCCCTCCATTTCCACAATGTTATGTAAACATTGTGATTTTGTAACCCACCACTGTATCCCCGAGCCTTCAACCTGTGTAGACCTGCAGTGTTATTGTTAAAGTGGAAAGAATCACCAACAATAGTGCTCCCTTTTCGTTTCCCTCTCATTTTTTAATATCTTTTAAAAAACGTTTGGACATCCTCTGCAGATCTTGTGCACAGCGGCGGCTTCGTGTACACAGTAGAACAAGACAACTCTGAAGATGCAGAAGAAGAATCCAATCCTTCCCCAGTGCAGCAGAGCCTCCTGCTTTTCCTCTTCCTGCAGCACAGTGACCCCTTCACCTGCCAGCTCTCTGATATCATGGGTGAGAGATAGCTATCGATGGCTGTCATCAAAAACACTTACATTAAAGTTGATATTTATTTCGTCTTTTGATCGATGTGTAATCCACATGCAGGCACAGAGGCACTGATAGAGCACCACCTGGAGGATATTCTGAACAACAACAGGCAGGCAGTAACAACAGCCCTTCAGACTGAGCTGAAAAACACACTAAGAGCCCAAAACCTCAGACAAAAAGCAAGTCCAAGAAACACAGTCAACCATCACAGATATTATCATTTTTTAGTCATGTATGTTTTATGTTTTCATTATTTGGTTTTATAGAAATGTGTGACCTGAGTTTTCTGTCATCTATTTAAAGCATAGTTAATCAACTTAAGTTTTGATTATCATTTTATTGCAGATGTCCTTTTACCAAATAAAGATGTTGAACATTAGCAGGTTACAACTTCTCAAATCTGAGGATGACCTTGCATTTCTCCTATTTTTACCACTGGACATAACGGAAAAATTTGTTTGGCAAAAGCAAATATTTGATCTTCCCTCTGCGGGATGTGCTGACTAATTTTGTTTTTCTCAATTCATTGTTCGTTTGAAAAAAAGGAAGAAGTATGAATGTGATATTTTGACCTAATAGCATGTGTTCTGTGTGGCATGTCAGGAACACAAGAAGCTTGGTTCTGCTGCTGAAGTGATTCTCAGTTCGTCCCTCAGTATTGTGAGCTGCAGCAGTAACATGGACTTCAGAAATGCCTGTTTGAAGTGCATGAAGGTGAGGGATGAAAGGATTTTCTAATTGGTTAAAAGAGAAGAGAAAAAGGTTTACTGCTTACTAAAAGAGGTCTTTCGGAGTTCATACTTTCACAGAAGCCATTGGCAAAATGATATATTTTGAGCTACAATCAGAAATATATATGGTGACAGTGTGACTAAAGTGAGATTTGCATCCATATAACGTATGTGTTTGTCAGGTGTGTGACACTCATGATCTGTCAGCCTCCCTCCGTGAATCACTCAGGAGGGTGACATCATGGAAATTTGTCTCTAAGGGAGGGTGCTACTCAGACCGGGTGAGATGGATGTTTGTTGTTCTCAGAAACTGTTCTGTTACTATAGCAGCACTTTAGTTGTTTAACAAATCTCACTTTATCTTTTGTTTAAAGGAACCAGATTACTTTGAACAGATAGAAGAACAACTGGAGAGTGATGAGCCAAAAAGAACAGAAATCTAAAATCTGTCTGTGATTCTTGAAGGATTAGTTCTGTGAGAAGGCTGCGAAAGCATTTCACAATTTTTTCTTTCCTTTAAAAAAAAAGAGCATTGCTCTGCATTAGCAGAGCATGTTGTGGATGTGCTTGCTAATTTTGTGTTTGTTAATTTAAAAAAAGTTAAAAAAATTATATAAAAATGATTGTTTTTGTGTTACAGCAGATGTGATGAATTCTGAAATAGATAACGTTACTAAAGAGAACTTAATTAATGATCTGAGATAACCCTGTGTTCATATTGTTTCCTGTGTGCTCCCTGAAATAAAGTGGTTAATAACAGCACACAGACATAAGTATGATCAAATATTCTTCAGTCATCACAAAGTCTGATTTTATTATTGAGAGTGTAGGGTTACAGTATATGGTTCATGCTATTTGTGCTTGTGAGAAGTCCAGCTTGGTAAACAGGACTGGTTGAAAATGAAAATATTCAAACATGCCTCAGGGCTAACGCAACATTAACATTCCCATGATCAATGCTAGGTGGCATTAAAAGCTTTTATTTTGGGATGTAAAGTTAGCATTTTATGTATGCATTATACAGTAAGGGTCTGAGGATTTGATTTGTTTGGGTTCCTGAGTAGTGAGGCAAAAAAATAACTTTGCATGCTAATTCAGTTGAGTAGAGCAGTAAGAAAATCAGTCAGTGAATATGGGAAAAGATAACAAAAATACTTGGAAATAAGTAACACGGGTAGACACTGATACAACAGAACAGAAACGAGTGGGTTAGGGAATGAGGCAGCAACAGCAATGAAGAGGGAGAGGATCTCAGGGTAGGAAATCTTTGGCTAAATCAGACTCTTTGCAAAATTGGAAATCCCCTAGCCGGTAGATTGTGCTTGAATGTAAGTATGAGGGGGGAAAGGAGGGAACTGGCACCAGTTTTAAAAGGAACTAAGAGAAAGTTCACAACAGAAAATTTGCTTGGCAACACATCAAAGGAAATATACAAACGTCTTATTAAATTCTGCTCGCTTTTATACTCTTTTTTTTTTTTAGCCTGCTCTTACTTGTATTTTACACTTGTGTTTTCTTGATTTTGTATTCAATGTTATGTTTTAATTGACTCTCTAGCACATTGACATTAGTTTGAAATGTTTTAAAAGTATATGTTAAAGTTGTATTATTATTATTATTATTATTATTATTATTATTATTATTAATAATAATAATAATAATAATAATAATACATTCTTAAAGGGTATAGAATTAATTGAAAGCATTTAGTTTTCACTCATATATTTTTTTTGTTTATATTATAAACAAAAAAAAGAAACAGGTAGAATGATAATAATTATGAACTTTATAATTATTATTATTATTATTCTGCTTCATGCTCCAGTCCGGTAGGTGGCGGTAAAACACCTTGTAGCTGGCCCGCCTTTCAAATCAAAGGAACGAAGGACTTCCGCTTTACATTTTCCGGATGTGACGTAAAATCCGGCCGCCAACACTGACAGCACTTTTTCGCGGTAAAATGAAACGAATATCTTCTGTTTGTATCGAGTTCTTAAAATCTACCATCGGACGTCTAGTTTACCTGTAACATTGTGTATTTTACACCGTTTTATGAGACATTTAGAGTGACAGTGATGTTGTGAAGTAGGGCAAAGCTGACATTAGTGACCAACCTTTCACCAAAACATAACTCTTCATATCATAGAAAGTGAACACTAGAGGACAATGGCACTAGTAACAGGAGAAAGTCTACAATCAGAGCTGGAAGTGTTCGACATACCCTGCAAAGATGACTCCGTCCTCGACAAGAGTAAGTAGATAAAGTCTGATAATTAAATCTAAAGCTGGTTTAAGTGTTTTTGTAGCTTTGTAAGTGATAAGGCTGTAACGCTACCTTAATATCGGTTTATAGGCCTTTACAAAGTTTATTTTCCATCATTTCTGGTTCACTATTGAATGCGATTTATCTCGTTTTGTCTTTCTGTTTGTCTAGCTCATTTCGTGTCTTTAATATACTTAGATGCACCACCAGTAACTGTAGGAGACCAGAATAATAACATTGATGTTATCTAATGTGCATCAGTCTGTGGAAAGATTAACTACAAGTATGAAGTGTAAAAATGTGTTGTATTACAGAAGTTGTTGTCATATCTAAATGGTGTACACATATCTGGAATTATCGTAAATGAAGAAGGAAAAAAAATACATTTTGTTGTCTACAACAAGTAGAGGTCAGGACAGATGGAGATGTGCCACAGTCAATGCCTTGCTCAAGGGTAATCTGGGTGCTTAGCTCAGGAAGTGAACTGGCACTTCTCCAGCAATCAGTCTCTGAATTTCTTTGATTTAAGTCAGCTCACCTCAAGGTGATGGATGTTTTTGGAAAATGCTTGAGAATCTGCATAACGAAATGTACAGAAATTGGAGGTGTGTCACTTCACGAGGCCTCGGTGTACTGGGTCTGCAGTCACACTCTTAGTGAGACTTATTTTAATCTTCTCTTTCGGTCTCTTCAGTGGTGGAGCAGTGTATCTGTAACAGGATGCAGGCAGACGAGATAGTCCTGGAGTGGGTGGCCTACAGCACCACGAAGAATGGACTGAAGCTCACCACGGACACCCTGGAGCAATTTGAACACGAGGTAAGGAGAGAGTACGGTACTGCCTGTAATGTGCGTATTTTTCCAAGTTGTTTGTAACATTCTAAAAGATTAATTCAAAAATGTTCCTGTATCAGAAGCAAGTTGTAGCAAATGCAGGTAATAGTGCAGTTTTTCATTTACAGTGTGTTCATCTTGTTTTGCAGGTTTTAAACAAGAAGAATAAGAGCAAGCAAAGCTTCAGAAAAGAAGAAAGCCACAACAGAACCAGGACATCCACTCACTACATGACTTGTATCCTTCATAATGATCTCTCACACTCGTCTATTGTTGGTGTCCGATAATGCCTCGGTGTTACAGTCCCCTGACCGTATGTGTTCAGAATTAAAGCTGAAGAAGAGGAGGAGAATCTACTGGACGCCTACTCTACTCCTGCTAAGGTAAGCTTGACTTAAGACAGTGTTTCTATGCAATATACACTTTGAAAGTGAATGAACTAAAGGCTACGTTTGTAGTGACCAGGTGTGATTATGTGTGTGTTTTTTTTTAGGGCTCTCAGAAGCGGGCACTGACCACTCCTGAACACCCGCAATCAAAAAGAACAGCAGCTCTGATGGCCAGCCCGGGCCTGCTGCTATCTCCATCCAGCTTTTCCCCAAGGTGCTCACAAGCTGAAACCCACAACAGGATTTCATATTGGTTCAGTGTTAATGAACAACATCATTCAGAAACTGTTGAAAAGTCTTAGAATTACTTTTACTTATACACTAAGTGATCAACATCTGCTAATGTGATGAGTTTCATTTGTTGTAAAATGTGTTACCAGTACATCTTTTTTAAAACGAGTTCCCTGTATATATTTTTTTGTCTTTGAAACACTTGCCTGGAGTAATTGTTAAGAGGAATTTTGTTTTCATTCTGCCCTTCTTCCCGCTCTCCTTTTAAAGTGCAACACCCTCACAGAAGTACAGCCAGCGAGGAGCCAAAGGGGAGGTGGTTGCTACGTTCGGGGCCGTGCAGGGAACTCGCTGGGTTGGCAAGAGGGCTTTGGGTGCAGATGTCCAGCTGGAGCTGCTCGAAGGGCCAGAAGACTCGCTCCGCTGCAGCTACAAATACATGTTCCAGAGGCTGCGTGATGTTCGAAATGGTAAAAAAAATATATATATATATATATATTCATACATTTAACTATATTTGGAAAAAGATCTGATATTTTACCTTTGCAGCTGTTTTGCATATGTTGTAGAAGGTCAGAAAATTTCTTCTGTGGACGCTTAAATAGATCAACCTATAACACCTCTTGTGTTATTACCCTGAATTATTGAATTATAAAGTAACCTGGCCGGCCTGAAGGAACTGATGGAAATACATCCAAGTAATTTAAAACCTCATCATACAAACACAACTCTTTTAAGATGATTGCGTTGTTTTTCACAGTTTTGACCGAGAAGATAGAGGAGCTCGGCGAAGGACTCAGGTCGCACTTCAATATTGAAGAGTTTTCCCCCGTCTCCCTGCCGGCCCAGGTACCTTTTACTTATTATAATTACACTTATAATATCAATTGAGCAGTGTTTTAATTGTAACTAGAAGCTGAGAGTAACAAACATCTTCTTACATAAGCCAACAGATCAGCATTCAGTTTTACTTTTTTTTGGTAAAGCTGGTCAGAGCTAAGGTTTTTTTTGTTTTTGGGGCTTTTTAATGCCTTTATTGCAGAGATAGGACAGTGGATAGAGTCAGAAATCCAAACGGGAAAGGAGCCACAGGTCGGATCTGAAACCGGGCGGTCTGCCTGGAGGAGGGCCCCCTGTGCTCAGGATTTCTTTATCTTGTGAAATAATCTCTTAAATATATTTGAGTGTGGATGCAGGAAAACGTTAGCTGTGGATGTGAGTGGTTGTCGAATAGTCCCGTCAGTCCCTACACGTTTAACATGCTTATCTTTACGAGTTAAAACGGGGAAGAAACATGGCTTCACATCTGTTCGTTAAGATAACCTCAACTACATCATGTGACTAATCAGTCTGCTGTGTTTAAATCTATTCTCCTGCAGGACAGCATTACTGTGTTGGGACAGGTTTGCTGTGACAGTAACGGAAAACTAAACGCACAGTCCGTACTGTTGGAGGCAGGACCAGAGCAAGGTGGTCAGCAAGTACCCGTGGACCTATCGGAGCTTAAAGAGTACTCCCTGTTTCCTGGTCAGGTGAGCAGAAGGAAGCTTGTATTATCGCTGAGGATTAAACCACCGTGTGTCTACATTAAAGGTCTTTGTAACCATGTCAATATATAAAATGCTTTTCTGAAAATGACTTTGCAGCTCTATGTGTTGATAATGTGTTGTGACAGCTGCATTAGCGCGGTGGTCTCTCCTTTCCCTGTGCACTGAGTTGTGTGCAGCAGGTTACAAGGCCACCAAGAGTAACAGAGCATGCCAAGGACCTGGGCTGGAGTCTCACCCAGCGTCTGACCGAGAACTCTGACAACCGTTCAACACTTTCCAGAGTACGAAACAATCATTCAGGGAGTCTTTCTCTCATAATCGTGTTATTATCATCCTTACTCACTTCCTCAGGTGGTGGTGATGGAGGGCATGAACACGACAGGAAGGAAAATGATGGCTTCTAAACTGTCTGAGGTCAGCAACAACAACAACGTGTTTTTAAGTGCTTCCAAACAAAGATGATCTTCTTACAAAGCAGCATTTATTTGCCGTTGCTTTAAAATTCCAATGAAGTGTTAGAATATGTCACCCCCTAGAACCGAGGCCTGTTTGTTCATCGTCTTGTCTTTTAACAGGGAATTCCTCTTCCGTTCTACACCTCTGATGTGAAAATGGAGACCGATGAGGGTATGGTTTCTTTGTTCGTTTCCTGGCGTTCCTTTATGGAATGATGATGATGATGATGATATAAATTGCACACTAACTCATCAGCATCTCATTTTGTGGCAGAGCCTGTGAATGTTCTGGTAGCATGTGGCCCGTACACGCCCTCTGACAGCCTGATGTTTGACCCTCTGCTGGACCTCATTAATGTCATAGTCAGGGATCGTCCTGACGTCTGCCTGCTGGTAAAGTGAATTATTTATTCATGAAGTTGCTTCCATTAAAGACAGACTAACTGCTCATAACTTGCTCTGTCACAGTTTACTAGCTCACAGAAACACTGTTATCAAATGACTGTGGTTTATATATACTGCTTTTTCTAATCAACCCTTCTTCCCCTGCAGCTCGGCCCCTTTGTGGATTCCAAACATGAACAAATTGAGGTTGGAGACACATTCACATTTTCTTTATCCCAGAATAGCCACTGCTCCTAGATCTGTTACTTAAAATCTAGTTTGAACCTCCCCTCTTAATCCATGCATGGTGACTTGAACTTCTTTTGTTTCAATACCATAACTCGCTGATTCCTGCTCTGCATTTTTGACCGTCAC